GATTGCTACCTGATATTGCCCGGTACAGGTGCGAGCTCTCCCATAAACAGCGCGCTCGAGACGAGTCGTAGGTGTACGAAGTCTGGGTCGGTATGGCGAGGCCACATCTGGCCTTCTTCCTGGGTTTCGGATCACCAGAGCAGTGGGTCACGTTGAGCGTGGGTCACGTTGACGTACCATTGAGCGTGCAATATTATGAGTGCAGCCGCAAACGCATTCGAATATGTGTTGAACTTCACTGTGTGAGTCATCCTACTATTTCAAGTCAACCACCACCAGGCTCGAGCTGCAGCGGACTGTGAATCAGCTTTGCCGGCGGGGTGTACTGTGTCCGTAAAGGCAAGAGAGACAGTAAAAAGCAGGCTTTGGATGCCAGCGAACAATGACTCAAGAAACCCCTAGGGACCTCCGGCACAAGATGCTCTGGCTCCACTCCTGGCACGCCACCTGGTGTGCCAGGAGGACACATAGAGAAGTATGGAGAATCGGAAGGAACCTTGGTCAGCATATTACAGTGCCTCAGCATCTCCTGGACTCTGGTGCTCTAAGAAGTAAAAAAAGGAAAAAAAAGATGCGTTTGGATTTATTGATCTTTTTTTTTGGGGGGGGGGGGGAGGGAGGGAGGGAGGGAGGGAGGGAGGGAGGGAGGGAGGGAGGAGAGGAGAGGAGGGGGAGGGGATGGGGGAGAAGGGGAGTATTTCTCAAGAAATGTAACGAAATGCATTTAACTCTGATTGTATCGCAATACAAAGGAACGTTCAAAATATATTTCTATACAGGAATACAAATACTGCTTAAAAGAATGTATCGCGATACAGCAATGCAGATACCAAATGAATTTCTGAAATACTATCGCGATACATCGCGATAGCATGCCCAACCCTGGACTCAACACAACATTTCCACTCGCAAAATGTTGTGCCCGTGAAATATTTCTCAAAACATACACTTTCCTAGATTGGCAAAACATTGAGAACAAAAAATTCTTTGGAGTATTGTATTTACGATTACGCATAATCAGAGTAAGGGGCCACTATGCATGCTTCCTGAAACCATCCTGCTTTGTATTGATAACGGATGTAGAAGAGTTGCCATGGATTATGTCAGGTAACTCTTCGTGAGCACGGGTAACAAAAGCATTAACATGTACATTTACGTAAAAAAAAAAGTCGTTATGAATAACAATACGTAGGAATAACGCAATTTGTTTTTTGACAAGACCACAGCTACAAATGTTTGCAGTTGTGGATCATTCCGATACTAAAATTCATTTGACCAGTTCATTTATTAATTTCAAGAAACTGTCTACCGTGCTCCGTCACATATGCTTGAATTTTTTTGAGTGCTTTAATTACTTTCTTAAAGGGGGCCCTGCAAGGACTTTTTAATGGTTTTTAATTTGCACCCAAATTGAGCACACTGAACATAGTAACTTAATAAAACTTTTCTCAAATTTTGCTTATTTTAAACGTTTTAGCCAAATCAAAATTACAAAAACAAGCAAAAACTAACCTCCTTCATGACGTTATTGGTCGCTTGAGTGGCCGTGAACTAGAGGAGGGGTAGTGAGCTCAGCGAATGCTCACGGCTGCCGCACTCCGCGTCGACGGCTCGAGAGGACGCCACTAAAGCGCGTGCTGGATTGGCTGGATGAAGGGGGTGGCTAGGGCGGTTTGCATTGCATTTGCTGCTGGTTTAAACACTAATTCGGCATGACAGTTTATTGCCCAGAAACGACAGCAAACACGGGGTAAAGTTTAGTTCAGAACAGGAGCCGCTTTGCGCTGCCATACTGCCAAACGGCCAAACTGCAAGCCAAAGCTGCTCGCCGAAGGCCTTCAGAACGCTCGGAACTGGTCGGATACTCGAGCCGGTATATGACCGCAGCGCCGCCGCGTACATCCAGGACCTTTCTACGCTTGCCGCTCGTAGATGCCTGATCCCACTACTCCTTTCTAGTATGCGCCGCCTTTTTCCACCGCTTGGTGGCGGGTATGTTGACGGGTCATTTCTTGTTTCCATACTTTATAAACTGCACTTGTCTCTTTTTTGATCTAAAATACTGAACAAAAGCTACTTTTATAAATAATTGAAACGGTTCGCACCACTTATATTTTGTATTTTGACTAAAAAGAAGCTTTTAGCAGCTCTGACCAGTGGTAAGCCCAGGACCAAAGACTTTCCATAGTGCGCGCTTTCGGCACCGCGGGTCGCCCCCGTAAGTGGAGGAGGATTTTTCGTCGTCCCATTAAAATATGACGCACTGGTATTTAGTTACTCTCTCCGCGCCCGCTGGCTTGTCCGAACCCCGAGAGACGTGGAAACCACAAAAAAAGTAGAGGCTTAAAAATGATTGCAAAGGTCCTTTAAGATAAATAAGTTCAATTGAATTATTTATTTTTACCAAAAAAGGTTGAGGACCCTTGCGTTCCATATTGGCTGAGATTCCTACAGTGCCTCGGTTACGCAGTGTGACGCTGAAAGGAAGGCATCTGCATAAAAATTGCAGCGTTCACAATAGTGAATAGAGATTTCCTTTTAATTCGTGACCATGCTGATTTCTTCAAAGCGCATCTCTTGAGACAAATAAAGATGTGTCTAGGCAGGTTCATGAAGCGTCACCTGGCATTCGAGCTCAATCAAAGTTGCCGAAGGTAGCTTCTCTTGAAGCTGTTTAGTCGTGTCTGAAATTTTATGCAAAACGAGTGTCGGGCTTCATTTGGGGGCAAACTTGGAAACAGCGCAAAAAAGGCGGGCCAAGAACGAGAAGTGAATGAACACTGGGTTGTGTTTGTTCACTTTTCGTTCTTGTCCCTTGTATTTTTTGCACTGTTTCCAAGTTTGCAATATGAACCAACTAGCCCAACTTCACGCCTTGTTTCATTTGGGGGCACTGCCACTTCTCTGGTATCTTAAAGGGGTACGGAAACAAAAATTTAAATATTCAAATTTCGTTCGGGAATGAGTCAATCATGACGGATAATAACCATACTAAATGATAATCGCACGCTTGTATTTTGAACAACTGGCTATATAAGAGAAGCGAACGGAGAGCGCGATGCATCACGAGATATCCGGCGGAAACAAGAACAGAAAGCAAAGATATTCGTGACGTAGCAAGGCAGGCGTGGTTATGAGCTTTGCCCTTGGTGGCGTTGTCAGCGTTGTGGTGGTGTCAGTAGCGTCAGTTCGTTACAACCGAGCCGTTCGAAGTACCCATGGAGTGACGAGCGTGCGGCTGGCCCAAGGGGCACGTAGCTTCCACAGCACTGTCAACCTAGGGCTGAACGGGGTCGGAAAAGCAACTTTTGTTCGAGTTTTGAGCGACAGGCTAAATTGGCTATTTCCGGTTGCACGAACAAGGGTCTGAGAAAGAGGGGAGTCGTTCCGTCTTCTTGGACCGTTTGGTACAATGCGCGATTTGTGAGTTGAGCTTGAAGGAAAGCTAAGAAGGAAAATGTTGAAATTCCAAAGGTCAGCGCTGCTTCGAAAGAATCTGCTCCGTCAAGACTACGTAATAAGTTACCCAAAGTTGCTAGACTACCTCCCAAATAGGCTCCGCATGCATCCACCAGGTGCACATTGAAAGATTGTTTATTTAGCTTTAAAATTAGTTTTCTTGTGCCTTTCAACGGAAGACTGGTGTTTTTGAGGTTAGGGTGCAGCATGCGACACATTCAAGCTAGAAAATGAGCGCTGAAATTTTGTTTTTCTACCCCTTTAAAGAAAACCTAAAAAAAAAAAAAATTAAAAATCTGGTTGGGAGACATGCATCTCAAAAAATTAGTTTTACACACACACAAAAAAATATATATATGTTTTGAAAGCAATTTTTGGTGACGCAAAACACGATTTAGTTGGTAGTCATCTCCTCTCCATGTGATTTGTCTCTTGGCATTTCAGTCGCGTGGAGGACAGGTTCATCGACTTTGCCTTCACGTTGAGGTGGAAAGAGCAAATGACCATCTTGTTGAGGTCGAAAGAATGAGTGACCATTCCGTGAAGTCAGAGACTTCATGCGCAGAATTTCAGATAAATCTATCGTCATTAATATGCGTATAATAAATAATTCTTTTTTTTTGCATAAAATTTATTTTTAGACACCCGTATGCCAAAGCAGACTGTTTAAACAAACATTTCTTTTCAGGGAACCTTTAATAACGTCGTAAGCATATGTCAATATACAACATAATTGTTTATTTTCTCAGGCCAATATTCAAGAAATGCGGTTATAAGTACTGTTGTGGAGCAGATTCTTCTGCAAATTTCCTGCTCGGCCTGCGTTAGACTACTTAAATATTTTCTGAGTACTTTATTCATTTAAAAAGAATGAGCCTACACAATGTCAATGCACAGTTCACAAATGCTTTGAGTTTTCGTGAACCATGCGGTGAACAGAAAACTTGTTAGTTCCTCTGTTCTTCGCATTCAATACATTGTTCATCAGGTTGTCGAAAGGCTTCTTCACAATATATCATTCATGCATAACTTTGCTATTTGTTTCTTTTGCTGGAAAACAGGTGAGAACTGGTTCGGACATTACAATGGTAATCGTCTTGGTGCATTAGTACAACTTTCTTTTTTTCGTGATTCCCATAGCAAAGCTTCAAGCAATTATATAAGTGTGCTCAAAACCAGTCCAAGTTCAACACTTGTACGAAAGGATTAATGCGAAGGCATAAAAAAAAAAAGATTATGTGACCGGACACGGAGTTATTTACAATGTCATCAAGCTAGGCCTTGCAAATGATAGCCAAATCACGTCCACTACTACTTCACGATATAGGACAGCGTCTTTAGTGGCCATGCTTGTTATTTCATTAGATCTTGACGATGATTTATTACTATGGAGCATTTACAAATAATTTTTCTAGTGAACAGTGGCATTCCTGTTAACAACATCCTGCTGTGTCAGGTGAGTAGAAAGTAAGAGTTAAGAAGTGTACTTTGGCCTTTAATGGCAAGTCGGTGCATATGGAATTATTTTGGTTTCAATGCAGGCCCAAGTATGCACGGCGCTGAAGGGATAATCCTTTCAGGCCACAGAAACAAGGGTACCACAAGAGCCGGCCAAGGGAAGGGAATGGGACCTCTTGGTGTCAAAGTATTGCCTCCTGCATGGCCATGCCCCAAACGGTGCATTTTTTGCCGAGGTAAACCATTCAGTCATTTCAAAGTTGTGCGGGAAAAAAACAACATGACTCACTCTCACACATTGCTGAAAACATTCCAATGCAGCATTGATCCAGAAAATGTAAGTTGACGAGTTGCAGATGATGACCCAGGTGGGATGATAGCTTTTACATTATCAGAGTTTTACTGACTAAAGGGCTGCCCCGAGAGGACACAGCAGGATGGTGTCCTGCAACGCAGCACCAGCATATTATGTACTGTAATCCTCTCTAGTAATTTTTTCTTTTTTTGGGGAGGAGGAAAACACTTTTTCTTGCATTCTTAAAAAAGAGGGTTAGACGATTATCAATAAATCTTTACAGAAACCGGTGCCATTTTCATGTTCAATGTGAAAACTGAAACGGGACTGGCAGAAAGCGACTTTCATTTGACGTGAGCTCTGCAGCGTCCTGTTTGAACAGCTTTTAGGGTGTTTGGACGCGCTAAAACTAGACTATGAGATGACTTTCAGCCTAGGAGCGATTCTTATGCTACATTTGTTTTTAACATGGTGCGATACTTTAGTGGATGAATTGGGTCAGGTCCCTTGGATCCAGCCCAGTCGGGAAGGCCAACCAGGTTTAGTGGGTCCCGTTTGCCCAATGCAACAAGGCACGTCCTTGCAGACTTGGCTCTGCCTTCTGCCCTTGGACTGAGGCTGGAGTCCCTGGGTGGAGCTGGGGTTTCACATGTCTACTCTCCGAGCGTGGGAACAGATGCCAGTTAGGAACAAATGTACGTGCACCACTTCTGTGACCTCATCTCATAATGACAACCTGGTTTGTCGAGCCTTTTTCGGCAACCGTACGTGGGAAGACTCACCCGCTACATTCCTTTCCTGGTCGCTTTGATATTACGTAATCGAACAGTGGTTATGGTGTATTTATAAAACCAGTTTATCAACTCACTCCACAAAAGAACCTCGAATGTCTCTTGCACCATACAGCTAGACAAAAAAAAGATGTGTGGGAGAAATTGTAAAAATTAATGATTTTTATTTATTACGCAAATTAAACTGAATGACATAATAAAATGTAAAAAAATGTACGCAAGAAATGCATATTTGAGCAAGAAATGCATATTTCTTGCTCAAAAAAAAAAAAAAAAAGCTAAAGGTAGGCATGGACCCAGGATAATGAATGGGGTAAAGAAATAAAATTACGATACATATTGTGGGGTGGGTATGCAGGATTCAGTCCTAGCTTGAACTAAGATAAAACTAGCAAACTATTTAGGTTTAATAAACTGGTAAAATAAAGGAAGACACATGTGCTTCCCATAGAGCTCGAGCAAAAAAATTTAAATGGAAAATTTTGTTTTGTACACCTAAACCAAAGAAAGCCTTTTTTTCAATTTGTCGATAGCTGAAAAGCAAATAGAAACCGAAGAAACATGTACCTGGTGAATAATATATTACAGCAGTTCGATGATAAGAACATTTTTCAAATATTTATGATAAAAAAATCATGGAAACTGGCGGCCCTGTCTTGTAGAAGTAAATCTGAATAGATAAAAGAATTCCTGGAAGATTTTCTGTTTGACAACAATTTTTAGGTTATTTATGATTTTGTGTGTATTGTACCAGTGCCTCTTCTTCTTCTAGAGATGTGCTCCCTGAGAGGTTCAAGAGAAAGGAACAAAAATTTGAGGCATTCCATAGAGTGACGGCTATGGGACACCTCACCAAGGGAGATGAAATGGAGGGAGGCGAAAGAACTCTTATACCCCTGTCAGACGGGCTAGTTTAGTGTCACTACAAGCGAGTGCACTTCAACCCATCGAAACACACTCCAAGTGTGTTGGTGCCACACGGGAAAACTTAGTGTCACTCCAAAATGATGGCAATTGCGATGGGTAAGTAATGGGCACGCAAAATATTACAGTGCATGCGCATTTTTTCATAAATAACCTCGCCATCTTATTAGAAACACGTTACCACACAATGTTGCGCTAAGTCACGAGCTTTAATCCAAATTCGAATCCAATTTAATCGTTACGATCAGTCATTAAAAGCCAGTGATACACGTCCGCACACCGGTACGATGCTCATCTATACTCTGTTTCACCTTATGATGTACCGCAGGAAAGTTTACAAGCGCAAGCTCCTTGCTGTAGGGCCCATCTTGGCGGCACAAGCTCTTGTGCGTTAAGAGTAGCTCCCAACGCTATGAGCTCGCGCTTCTATCCTTGTTTGTGGTACAACATAAGGTGAAACGGATCATAGATCAAAACGAGCAGAAGGTAGGGATTGAACCCAGCATTCCTGGGTTCTGCAGCGCGAGCTTTCGTTCCGCGTGCTCCAAGCTGGTGTGGGTGAGCCCACTGGCCACTCGCCACTCGCCATAACGAAACATCTTGGAGTGTGTGGAGGACGAGCTGGAGCGTGATATCCGCGATGTCGGACAGTGGAAGCGCGTGGTTGGGGCACGTTTCTTCGTGAGAGCCCAACGCCTTTCAGATGAGAGGCAGCTGGACCTGGATGCCGACGGACAGGCAAGAATTTCAAGTGACATCGATCAGCAGCTGCAGGCCAATGCCTTCACCATAGCCGCTCTCGTGACCGACAACCTACCCGTGATCACTCGAGAACGGTGGACTTTCCAGAGGAACGAGCGGTGGTTCGAAGACACCTTGCGCCATTTGGGCGAGTTCCATTTCAAGCAAGCCTATCGCGTCTCTCCTGCCACCTTCAGATTCCTGGTGGAGTCTTGCAGGTGCCTCCCGGCCGTCGCTGGCCGTCGCGCTGGGGCCGAGGCTGGAAACTAGATTCGCCGCTTGTTTTTCTACAATGCACTACTATCTTGCCAACAGAAAACAAGTGCGCATCTAATATTACTCCTATCCAAATAATACTAAATTTATGCAGCGTTAATTCCTTCTATTCTTTCTACTCCTTGAACAGTGCTATCGAGATTACACACTTGGTCTACCGAAGCGAGCGTAGTGTGCTCCCCGAACTCACTTCGTTGGAAGTGTGTTCTTCGGGCAGGGCTGGATCACTGGGTTCTCCAGCGCGAGCTTTCTCTCCACGTACTCCGACCTGGTGGGCGCTAGCCCACTCGGCCACCGATACCCCTTAATAAAGACACGTTAAAAAAATTAGACGTTTACAATTCACTGTAATGCCGAATTGGAGCGCAGCTCTTGAGGAGGAGGGAAGAAGGGTACGAAGGGGAGGGTATGCCAGCTGCTCCCCCTCCGTACCCTCCCATCCTCCTCTCCTGTTCCCATCTCACTCAGCGTAAAACTTTCGCTAAATTTCCCGCTAAATTTAGCCGGGAAATTTTACCGCTGAATGGACGTGTGACGTCACATGACACGTCATCTGAAATTTTAACTGTGACGTCATGTGACGTCACACGGGTAAAATTTTTCTTCTAAATTTAGCGGAACAACTTTCCGCCAAACTTAGCAAAAACTTTTACCGCAAAATTTAGCGGGAAAATTTTACCCTCGTGACGTAACACATGACGTCACGTGTGACGTCATTTTGGGAAACTGCCCTTAGTGCAACTGCTTCAACGCGCGATTACGCCGACGCAGCTCAACTCAGAAGCGGGTGCCTAGGAGCTGTGCTCTGAAACTAAGTTAGATTAATTGAGATAAAGAACGAAGCATATCCAACTTTGGCGTTCCGCTTCGTTCCACGGAACTTTATGAGGAGGCCCTGCACTGCCTAATCAGATCATAATTATTGTGTTGTCTCAAGTAGTCACATGCTGCAACAAAAGTAGGCTCTATCATTCTCTGCTAACCAAGATAGCCATGAATGACTGACTTTGCTCGTCGTCTTTTATCAATTCACCACTGCGCTAATCTTGATTCAGGTAAGGCTAAACTCCAAGTCCACCCCACTACTTTTTTTGCAATGCCACTCTTCTACATGTCGTCTCTTTCCCGAATTTCTTTTTCTTTATAAAATAAAACTTGCGCAACGCTTTTGGTTTCTGTGTTGTTATGTTTTACTGTTGAAACACTCCTACTGATTCCACGCGCTCGATCGAGCAATGTGAGTTCGTCAAACTCACTCCAAGCCAAGTCTGTTCCTCAGGAAGGAGCCGTGTGGCAAACTACAGAAATGACACTAAGTGCGAAGTGCACTCGCTTGTAGTGACACTAAACTAGCCCGTCTGACAGGGGTATTACACTACCTGTAAATAAAGTTGTCCTTTTTGCGTGCAAAACCAATAACAAGGCTAGAAAATAGCAAAGGGAAACAAATTTCCTTGTCATATGTTTTGATATACAATATTTTCCAGACTATAAGTCATACCCTTGTGTAAGTGGCATTTCTATATATTGAGCCATTTCGGCTGAAAAGTTGATTTATACATCAACACCTCTATATAATTTTTTTTCGTTTTACAAGCATTGCTATCCTAAAATAAAGGGGATTTGCAGCCAAGTATGCCAGAGCACTAAACGTGTCAATAATCTCTCGCAGGCACCCCGGCTACTCTTGTGTGGAAAGTGCTGTATCCTCTAGACAGCGTTCTGCCCGTCACACACTTTGTGATTTCAAGAATCACCACTCCAGTGCAGAGCGCCAGTGGCCATCATCGTCAGGAGATCTGGTCAACACGTCATCAACACGTGACCACATCACAGGACTACAAAACAGATTGGCACAAGCATCGCCTCGGGATTTGCAGCCAAGTGTGCCAGAGCACCAACCGTATTAATAATCTCTCGCAGGTGCGTACACTTCAGTTTTTGTAATACATTTTAAGTTTCCGTTTGGCTGCAAATGAGGGTTGGGCATAACATGTTTTGAGAAATATTTCACGGGCACAACATTTTGCGAGTGGAAATGTTGCGTTGTGTCCAGGGTTAGGCAGTATCGCGATACAATAGTATTTTAGAAATTCATTTGGTATCTTTATTTGTGTATTGCGATACATGTTTTTCACCAGTATTTGTATTCCTGTATCGAAATACATTTTGAATTTTCCTTTGTATCGCGATACAATCAGGATGAAATGTATTTCGTTACATTTGTTCAGAAATACTCCCCCCCGCCCCTCAAAAAAACAAAACAAATACAGATTGAAACACATTCTTTTTTTTTACTTCTGAGGGCACCAGGGTCAAGGAGACGCTGGGGCATTGTTGCCATGGTAGTGACCAAAATTCCTTCCGATTCTCCAAACTATTTCTGTATGTGTCCTCTCTTCTGAGAAGCATTGCGTAGTTGGGGACTCGAACCAGGTGGCGTTCCAGGAGTGGAGCCGGAGCATCTTGGGCCGCAAGTCCTTAGGTGGGGGTTAATTCAGTCATTGTTTGCTGGGCATCCAAAGCCTGCTTTTAACTGTCTCTCTTGCCTTAGCGTACACAGTCCTCCCAGCCGGCAAAGCTGAGTCACAGTCCGCTGCAGCACGAGCCTGGCGGTGGTTGACTTGAAATAGTAGGAAGACTCACGCTGTGAAGTTATATTCGAATGTGTCTGCGGTGGTGCCCGTAATATTGGGCGGCTCAAGAGTACGTCATCAGCCGACATGAACGTGACATGCTGCTCTGGTGATCCGAAACCCAGGAAGGAGGCCAGACATGGCCTCGCTGTGACGACCCAGACTTTGTACACCTGCGACTCGTCTCAAGCGCGCTGTTTCTCAGAGAGCTCGCACCTGTGCCGGCCATCTCAGGCCGCAATCCACGAGGTTTCTATTTGGAGTATGCAAGGCAAAACTTGAGGACTGCAGTCCATGCGTTGGTGGCGGAGGGTCGGCAGGAAGGACCTTCACAAAAGGGATGCCACCGTATCAATCGGTTTTTCAATCTTAACAGAAGAAAAGACATACGTGTTTTAGGATGCTTCAGGTGGTTCACTATTTTCTAAAATTCCAGATGACACTGCCTGCACAATCTTCCACGAGGTAACCTACAACGAAAGTATGTATTGTCCTTTCATACAGCAGCGTGGTAAAGTTTCATGTTCAAGGCCACACCTACAGATTGAGAATACCACTTAATTTCACGGTGACGTCATGTGATAATTGTTGACAGGGGCGTCCTTATTGGGCACGGCCCGGTGACGTTTTGATGCGATTTAGTATGACATAGAATTTATTTAGAGGTCAGTTTTTCCGCATCCCTCGTCAGACAGACAGGATGTCAGCGAAGGGACCACGGTCAATCCTTGATGGAACGTTTTTTTGAGCCCACTGAAGACTCCTCATCGTCCGAAATCACTACCTTTGTAGCAAAGTGCCAAGCCTACGGGAAAGTAATTTCAGGATCGAAAACTTACGCTTCCAACTTCAAGCTTCATCTCATTTGGCGTCTCAAACAAATTTGAAAAATGAATTGCAGTATCAGTATTTCTGTGTTTGTATTTCTGCCTTCCCTTAAATGCATTCCTGTATTTATATTTCCAAATACTTCTTGCCTCTAAAATGTAATTCCGATATGTATTGCGACACCCTTTTACAGATATTTTTCAGTATCAGTATTTTAGCTACTATTTTAATGTATCCCAGTATTTGTATTTCCAAATACATTTTTTGAGTATTTCTGCCCAACCCTGCTGCAAATCCCACCAGTGTGTACCAATGTGAGTTGACATTGCAACCTACCAAATTCGTATCGGAAGGTTTACAATGTGCTCAAAAAGAAAGTCTCGTCTGTTCCTGCCGAAGCAGTTTAATATCTCCTGGAATGTTCAACCATGTCCAACTCTTTGCTCTTCTGGTCCTGTTACTAGGGTCGGCCGGCGACATTGAGCTCATCCCCGGCCCCGAGATTACAAACAGTGAGAAAATAGACAAACTGCAAGAAGCTATTGATAGCCCATTAGCAGTCAGAAACCAAAACCAGAGGGAAAGTATGGGCAAGCTAAACAAAATTAACAAGGGCATAGCCCACCTGGCCAGACGTGTGCTAGTTTAGAGGCCAGAGTTACTCAAATGGGGCAAATAAAAGAAAGTTTGGCTTGTGTAACCGCAATGCTTCATCTTGTTGAGTGGAGTGTCTGCGAGTGTCTCTGTATTTAGGGACACTTTGAACAACATGAATGGCCAGATGTGCAGAAACGATCTCATCTTTGGCGGTTTGCCACAATGCGAAAATGAGACCTGGAATGACAACGAACAACTGTTATATAATTTCATCAACGATAATCTCATGCCAAACGTTGGCGAAATTGAAAGAGTGCATTGTCTTGGGCCAAAACGTGTCGGTTCGAACCGTCCCATTATTGTCACATTACTCAGTTTCGAAAACAAAGATAATGTACTCTGATTCAAAATTAAAGAATGTATCACCCAGGGTGTGCATTTCGGAGGACTTCTCTCCAAAAGTGCGTTTCGGGTGAAAGAAACTGTTGGAGTTTGCCGCTCGGTTTAGGGAGCACCATGTCTGATACAAGCTGTCATTTGATAAATTGCATGTCGGCAGTGAAATATATGACAGTGTTGCTGAAACTGTCATTTCAATTTAAAGGCCACTTGAAGTTCCCCGTGCAGTTGACTGACAACCCCCGAATGTGCACAAATCTTCTGTTCAACACTGTCTTTTTTTGTAGTAAATTTTAGTAGCCTCTTAAGAGGTAGAATTTGAAAGCATCACCACCTCTTGCGAAATGGACATTATCATAGCAACTGAAACCTAATTTACATCATGCGTAGACGGTAAGTACCTGACATTGAGCAAAGAGTACAATGTATACCGAAAAGATAGCTTTAGCGCAAGGGGTGGCTGTGTACTTATTGCTCTAAAGTGCAATCTAAAATGTTCACTAATATCTTCCGACTCCTTGCTCGAAACCCTGTGGGTACGTCTTCAGCTGGGTTATCGTAGGTTATTCATTGGTGCTTGTCATTGGCTGCCAAAGTCAAATATAAGTGACTTTCATGAAGCCATGTATAGTTCTTTGGGGCACTTAACAGAATTCTACCCAAACAATGATTTAATATCAGAAGGTGATTTTAATTGCCCTGGATTCATCTGGGTGACTCTCAGCCCGTCCATGTAGTGTTCAAATCCTGCTCAGTGCAATGATTTTCTTGCCTTGGTAGGCTGTTTCGGATTGCACCAAGTTGTAAACTCCCCTACCCGCATTGACGCAATTTTAGATCTATTCATTATTAACATTAGGAACTAGTCCTGTGCGAATATTGGATTTTGGGTTCGAAGCGAATAGAGGTTTTGACCGAATATTTTCAATTTGAATATCGAGTAGTTTTTCCACGCCTTTCACTACCATTGCATAATACTTAGACGGAAACTTGTGAAGGTTGTTCCACTTGTTCATTTATAAACTAAGTTTAATCTATCTATATTTATGAACTTTGACCTCAGAAGGTCTGGTGTCGATGGCAATTAAACAATGAATTTGACATTAAATGAATACTGTAGAGATGGCCAACTGGGTTATGGTAGGTTATTAATTGATGGAGTTAATTTACAAATCTTGCTATATAAAATATTCTTTCTTTAATCTCTAGTAAAAAAAATGAATGATGCATAATGAATGCAGGTTGTAAGGGCATCTCTGCCTAACATAGTATACTCTTGCATAACAGTATAATTTTGAAACTTTTACTACAATGCAGATATACACATTCACAAGGTTTTCCTTTAAAAAAAAATTGGGTTGTGTGTGTGTTTATACAGCCTAGAACTTGGTCTGCCTCACAGGGGCGACGAGTCTCCCAGCTGTAGATGAGAAATTTAGCCAGTGCGGTTCAGCCGCTAGCCTGGGGTCTTTAACGTGCATCACGCAGTAGTGATACACGACCGCACGCCGGTACGATGCTCATCCAGATCGAAACGGGCAGGGGTGGGGCTCGAACCCAGGATCCCTGGGTTCTGCAGCGCGAGCTTTCGCTCCACTTGCTCCGAGCTGGTGTGCGCTAGACCACTCGGCCACCGATCCTTTATTTTCCAATACAGTCGGCACAGGTTGTGGGAGCCGAGGGTGAAAGATGAGGCAGACGGCACGTGACAGGCGGTCGGCGGAGATGACACGAGCTGGTGCAAGACAGTGCGTACTGTGCGAGGCTAAAGCCGAACAAGAACGTCGGAGCCAAGCTGCCTGGCCTGGCCCATGGCGAACCCCGGAGCGGTCCACCATCGAGGTCTGGAGCAAGACCGGTGGAAACGGCGAGCCCTGGCCATATGACCTGGGCTATGACAATCACGGGGTAGTTCTGCAGCGAGACTCGGGCATTGATAGCCTGGGACAGCCAGCCTACGCATGCTGGCGTGGGAAAGACGATCCGCAGGCCTGGACACGGACTTCGACTGTGAGCTCTGATTGATGGGCAACAACAAGGGTCGGCGGGCCTGGACTGCCGGTTCTCGACGACGGGCAACCGAGAGGTACAGTAAACCAATTCGCTGTCTTCTCGTTGTGTTATGTCACTCCCTGGGTGACGGGCGGAGCGCATACCGATCGGGCAGCGATTATTAGTAGAGGGATCTCCGTAAAGAACCTCACATTAAAATGGCGCATCCAACGTGGGGCCCGTTCGGTATGCCTCTGCTTCTAGTCATCCCCAGGGAGTCCGACGGATTCGTTGAGCGGGTTGTTCACTAACGCTAACGATGCCCATTGAGACAAAGTATGTTGGAATTTGGGAGACTTGTCTCACAGCAGAGCTTAGCAGGTGTCTCCTCTAATTGAGTACCTAAAGGGCTCGAAGGACGAGTTTGCGGACGCGCTTTCTCGGGTGGGTGGTTATCATTTGAGCCCGTTCTTGTTTCGACCTTCTCACTTGGCCCTTCTCAAAACAACCATTCTCAAAAAGATCTTCTCTCTTTCGCATTCCAACCCTCGTCATTTGGGCCCGTTCTCGTTTCGCCCTTTTCCCCTGGCCCTTTTCAAAACGGCCATTCTCAAGAATATCTCGCTTTGACCCGTCGCACTTGACTCTTTCTATACCACAATCGTTTTTTATGGTAATATTAATAAATACATCGACATATTTTGTGCGTGTGTGTGTGCCGCACTACAGGCATACTCTCTCTGCTAAGGATTTTAGCAGTGCGTCGGGGTCGTCGTGAAAAGCTACTAGTTGACAGTAAAACAGACAAACTATTTATCGCAGCCAGATCATATTCCAAAATGTCACGTCGTTTGAGGTCTCTCGACTTGGGACTATGCCGCTACTTCTGCAATGCAGTGGTTCTCAAAAGGGGGTCTGCGAAGACGGGTGTAGCACGATTGCCCCGTGTACAGAATCCCTGTCGCAAAAGCCCCGCTTCATTAGCCCCACATTTCGAAAAACCCCGCGTTCAATTACCCCGTCCCGTATTCTTCGCGTGCCAAAAGCCCCGTCCTCACTGCCCCTCCCACCCTCTTTGCGCTTCAACCTGCATTGTTCCATGCGCCTACTAAGGGTCATGCAATTGAAAGAAAAAACAAAATAAGGTTACTTCAATCGCCGAAACACTTAGAAAGATGTACAAGTGGCCAACTGCATAAATCTGCATCACCAGCAATGCACTCCGCTATCATAGAAGGATACTCAGACGCAAAGTTATAAAGTTTATCTAGCTAGACGA